TAAATCAGCATTTTCTTATTACAAATTCATGTTGGAAAAGGTCCCAGCCAGCTCGGCTTTTCACACTGTGAGAAATGTTCTCATCTTTCGTGTGCAAGTTTTGAACCCTGTTAGCCATGCTTGCTGAGTGTCTAGGCAGATAAGCTGATTTCAATTACCTTTCATTTGATTGCTTTCTATTTGTTTTCAGCTCAATGTCATTTAAAAAAAAAAAAAAAAGACAACATTTACTTAAGATATCTGTACTGGATTTAGCTGTAGCAAAAGTAAGTGAATTTAATCGCTGCTGGGGAGAATACAGGTCCAACTCCAACCTCCCAGGAGAATAAATCATGGGGTAAACAAAGATTTTCAGATGCTCTCAAGGGACACAGAGGCAGCAGTACTCCAAATAGTGCCAGGAGTGGGCTGACTGCAGAATGGAGAATAATTCTGATTCCCCTTCTCTCATTTGATTCATTCTCCTTCCTCCCAACTATGTTAAGCAAGAAACATGGTCTGAACAGAAGAACTCCGAATAGAGTCCCCCATATGGAAAATCAGACCTACATGGGCTTTCTGATGCACTCTTCATGAACATTTAATCTCTAGGCTACATAAGGTCCCCAAATGCCCAGCATATTCTCTGAAACTTGCCCTTACTATGTGTCTGTGTAGTGACAGGTTTTTTTTTCTGAAACCAATTTCCTTCTGTAAACCAAAAGTAATGTACCCTATGATGAATTATGTTGCTCTTTCCTTATTCCTTCAGACTTTACAGCTTACCTCTTATCCCTCTCTGGAGCAGTTTTTAAAATAAATGTTGTCAGTGATATTAAAATATAAATAATAATTGGTTTTAATGTAAAAGTCACATTTCATTCTGAAGTATTTATGCAAAGTATGTTTTACTATTAAGATAATTTCCATACTGAGACCAACCTCATTGCTGCTGAACTAAAGATGGACAGTGGTTTCGGTAGGGGGCAAGTTCGGGATCGTAATGTTCAAAAGAGAATGTAAAAAAGAGAAATCTACAGCTTTTATCGAACATGGCATGACAGAATGGGCTGGGTTGGAAAGGGCCTCAAAGATCATCCAGTTCCAGCCCCACTGCCATGGGCAGAGATGCCACCCACCACACCAGGCTGCCCAAAGCCCCATCCAGCCTGGCCTTGAGCACCTCCAGGGATGGGACATCCACAGCTTCTCTGGGCAACCTTTTCCAGTGCCTCACCACCCTAAGAGTGAAGAATTTCTCCCAAATATCTAATCTAAACCTATTCTCTTTCAGTTTAAAGCCATTTCCCCTTGTCCTATCACTCCACCCCCTGACACAGAGTCCCTCCCCAGCTTTCCTGCAGGCCCCTTTAGGTACTGGAAGGCCGCAGTGAGGTCTCTTCAAGGCCTTCTCTTCTCCAGGCTGAACACCCTCAGCTCTCTCAGCCTGTCTTCATAGGAGAGGTGCTCCAGCCCCTTGACCATCTTTGTGGCCCTCCTCTGGACCCACTCTAACAGCCCCACATCCTTCTTGTGCGGGGGGCCCCAGACCTGGATGCAGCACTCCAGGTGGGGGCTCAGGAGAGCAGAGCAGAGGGGACAATCCTCTCCCTCGCCCTGCTGGCCTCGCCGCTTTTGATGCAGCCCAGGATACGGTTGGGTTTATGGGCTGCAAGCACACATTGACGGCTTATGTTGAGCTTCTCATAACCAACAACCTCAGGTCCTTCTCCTCAGCACTGGTCTCAATATATTCTCCACCCAGCCTGTATTTGTGCTTGGGATTGCCTCTGCCCTGCTGCAGGACCTTGCACTTGGCCTTGTTGAACCTCATGAGATTTGCACAGGCCCACCTCTCCAGCCTGTCCAGGTCCCTCTGGATGGCATCCCTTCCCTCCAGCGTGCTAACTGCACCACACAGCTTTACTAACTTCATTTTTAAAACTAAATAAATTAGGTGAATACAGTATTTTCTAAGTAAACATGAACTCTTCTGACACAGTGTCGTGGCTCCGCTTGAGTGGGCAGCCGAGCTCCACCACAGCCGCTCTCTCACTCCCCCTCCTCAAAGAGGAATGGGGAGAAAATATGTGAAAGGGGCTCAAGGATTGAGATAAGGACGAGAAAATCACGCAATAATTAGTGTAACGGGCAAACCAGACTCAGCATAAGAAGACAGATAGTAAGATTTATTGCTCATTACTAACAAGCTAGAGAAGTGAGAAACAAAGGAAAGAAACCAAAAGCACCTCCCCCCCATCCACCTTCTTCCACCTCCTCCCCCCGAGCAGCGCAGGGGAACGGGGGAATGGGGGTTACGGTCAGTCTACAGCACTTCTTCTCTGCCGCTCCTTCTCGGTCACTCTCGTCCCCTGTGCTGTGGGGTCCCACCCACGGGATGCAGTCCTTGACAAACTGATCCGGCGTGGGCTTCCCACAGGCAGCAGCTCTTCCAGAACTGCTCCAGATATGGGTCCGTACCACGGGGTCCATCCTTCAGGAGAAAACTGCTCCAACCTGGCTCCCCTACGGGCAGCAGCTCCTGCCAGATCACCTGCTCCTGCGTGGGCTCCTCTCCACGGGCTGCAGGTCTGGCCTGGAATCTGCTCCGTCAGGGGTCTTCCACAGGCAGCAGCCTCCATCGGTGCAGGGCCACCTGCTCCACCGTGGTCTCCTCCACGGGCTGCAGCGTGAAACCCTGCTTCACCATGGTCCTCACCACAGGCCGCAGGGGACTTCTGCTCTGGCGCCTGGAGCACCTCTCCCCCTCCTTCTTCACTGACCTTGGCACCTGCAAGGCTGTTTCTCACTCCCTTGACTCTCCCGGCTGCTGTGTGGCGCAGCGTTTTTTCCCTGTCTTAAATATGCTATCACAGAGGCGCAAAACAACATTGCTTATTGGCTCAGATCTGGAAAACAATGGGGCCCTTCCCAAACATGGGGCGGCTTCTAGATCTTTCTCACAGAAACCACCCCTATGGCCCCCTGCTACCAAAGCCTTGCCATGTAAACCCACTACACACAGGTTCTTCAAAAACTAGTTTTAGATTGTTATATCTCTGAGGAGGCTGAGGGGAGACCTCATCGCAGTCTACAACTTCCTCGTAAGGGGGTGTCGAGAGGCAGGAGACCTTTTCTCCATTAACACCAGTGACAGGACCCGCGGGAACGGGGTTAAGCTGAGGCAGGGGAAATTTAGGCTTGACATCAGGAGGGGGTTCTTCACAGAGAGGGTGGTTGCACACTGGAACAGGCTCCCCAGGGAAGTGGTCACTGCACCGAGCCTGACTGAATTTAAGAAGAGATTGGACTGTGCACTTAGTCACATGGTCTGAACTTTTGGGTAGACCTGTGCAGTGTCAAGAGTTGGACTTGATGATCCTTAAGGGTCCCTTCCAACTCAGGATATTCTATGATTCTATGATTCTATGAAAATTTTGTCATACTTTGTCATTATGAGATTTTATCATAGGCAAAGTAAACTGGTTGGGCTGATGCCACCTGAGGACAATCACAATGGATGTAGGATGACATTCCTTATGCTGTGGGTAAGAGCAACTTGATGCCCTTCATATTTGCCCCTCTTCCGACACAGTGTAAGAGGTAAATATATTGCCCTATGTGGTCTGCATTTTGGGCATTGCTTCCCCCACCCCAGAAAGCTTTCACTTCAAAATGCTGTAATCCTGCTCTGTTTCATTATGCATCTTTTTACCACAGTCGAGTGATCTGTCGTACCGATGCTAGCGTCATGACCTGCCTGTATTTTGGGAGTGCTGCGGTTTCTACAACGCCTGATGCCTCGGCTGTGCAGGGTGGCCAGGAGTCCCGGCTGCCTGTCAGACAGACGAGCAAACACTTCATTTGCATTCTTACTCCCGGAGTGCTGGCTGACTCTCTCAGTGCTAGTTAAATTAAAACTCTTTTAATCAGCTGCAGCTGTCTTTAACTTGATTACTTTGAATACAATTTCCCATCTATCTTCGCCCAACATTTATCTGTAGATGTATTAATGATATCTGTAAAGATAGATAAGTACAATACCCATTTTATCCATATTTACACAAGTGCTTCTGTTTGGAGGTCAACGCTGTAATTCGTCAGTCATTTCTAATGCGTTTGAATCCCAAGAGGGCAGAATCACCTCCCCTGGCCATGATGCATTTATCTCATCAGGTCACCAGGGTTTTGTTCTGCAGTGCCCATCCTGGAGAATCATCCCTGAGGCCAGGGAGTTGTTGGTGACAAGAAAGGCTCCGTCCTTCCTGCTTGCAATTTGAAATACAACAGGGATTCTTGTGCATCATAACCATCCTCTCCCCTGTACAAACATCCAGTGATGTTGGAGTAGGATTTCCTTTGTCCAGAATCACTGAAGAGGTGCTTTAGGACAATGAATGAGGTGCAGCTTGACAGTGGGATGAGGACAGATGCTGCTTTTAAGATGTTCAAAGCTGGCTAAGGAGAAACAGATCCCAAGAAGCTCGGATAAGTATGGGATTTAAGGGTATTATAGGGGTACTTTAAGACTTTCATTGCAGTGAATAGTAGTAGAGAGAAATCCTCCTGTCATGCTTGATGTTTTGTTAGTTTGCATCTAGAAGAAAGTAGAGATTAGGGATTCTTGCATGAACAGGGGGAGGAATTCCAGCATGTAGCAATGCCCAGTGGGCAGAGATTCCACAACACCTTTTAAATTCATGTGTCAGGTATGCAGGAGTCAAACTGCTGGGTTTCAGAGCACTAGCCTAGGGACAGGATGCTCTTCTGTCTTCAGAAAAGGCTGGATCTGGGAGGGAGTAGGTCAGGGCATAGGTCAGCATGTCCTCCAGCTCCCAGTCAAAGTCAGGATTTCGGTCTCTGTCTCTTGAGTGTGAGGCAATGAGTATCAGGGTGCCAACCTCTCTTCCCACTGGCAATGTACATGTGAAATAAAAGATTTCTAAGGGAAGAGACAGGAGAGAAGTTGCATGGGTTTTTGTACTGCATGTACTATTGCAGAGTTCTTGTCTTTTCAACAGCTTCCCACTGGAATGCATCTTTTGGTGGAATTAGAGAAACTGCAGGATGCACATGAACTGAGACATGATTAGACATAGCTCATATGCCAGAAGATTGACAGTCAGTGCAAGAAGATAGCAGCTTCCATGAGTTCAGTGGTATGTCCACAGACAACTGTAGGTGAGACATTTCATTTTTGCTACAGATATTAGTCCTTCATGTGGTTCTCAGCTCAAAATATGGAGGCTGGGAGAGCACCAAACACTGTGTTTTAGCTTGGCCAGGGAGTTTTGGAGGAAGGGGAGAGAGGGATTGATTGATATGGTTTTGAACCTCATCTGTCACTTAAGCCAGAAATTAGTTTTCAACTCTTTTTGTTTTCAGGGGAAAATGGGGACCTAAGTATTGCCATATGTGGGATTTTATAAATTGTCTAACATTGTTATTAGAACTGTTTTGATAACAATTCTCTTGGGTTCATAGTTAAAGGTACTTCCTTGCTATGGTGATTGTTTGGTGTAAATACCAAATGTTGCTCTTGAAAGAAAAGCAGCTGCAGTTAATTTTAGATTAAAAAAGAAAAGATTATAAAACATTGCCAAATCAAAGATTATAAACTGTTTTTAAGATAATACCTTTCAATTTTCCAGCTGACATTAAAAGTAGAATTTAAATTAACTGCAGTGCGATTGCTAAAAATCATTTGAGCACGTCGTTTAAAATGTAATGAAGAAATGTCTTTGTTCAGTGAAAATTAGTTAAAACTACTCTTCCACTTGTATGAATGCGGTCTGGGGTGATGCTGCATTTCTGAGTGATCAGGACCCCAAGCCAAAGGGTTGTCACCTGAGAGAGCCACGTCTTGTATTTGAAGCACCATGCAGCCACAATGCGGTTCTTATAATAAGACTTGTGCGGCTTTCCTCAGGAAGGCAGGGACCGTTCTGCCTCTCCTGTAATCACCATCGCTTTTTTGCTTTCTGCGTGGGCCTCTCCAGAGCAAAAGGCTGCTTATCTTCTCAAATGGAGTGGGGACTTGTTTTTTTGTGGGAAAGCACTGGGAGATGATTGAATTTGTTTTCATTTGCGATACAAGTAGGAAATGAATCCAGCCTGCCAGAGCTGGGAACGGAATGTGTTAACTCTTACAGCGCTTCCTGGAAGAGCCCCTTATGCCAAAACTCATTGTGGGATGTTTTTAGGGGAAACAATGGGATAAATGTCAGGAGATGACAGACCAGAAGGCTGGCTTCAGCCTTGCTGTGCTCCCCTCAGCCTTGGCTCCACCTGCACACCCAGTTGAGTTCCCCAGTGACCCAGTTCAGGGGTGATGCCTCTCCTTCACGCTTCCTATCCTACTCTCTCAACCTCTCGTCCCCGTTTTCCAGCTCCTGTTAGCTGGGGCTGACAGTCCTGTGCACTGGCAGTGGGGGAGGCTGCTAAGTGTTGGGTCCTGCACTTGGGGTACAACCCCATGCAATGCTACAGGCTGGGGGAAGAGTGGCTGGAAAGCTGACCAGTGGAAAGGGACCTGAGGGTCTCCGTCAATAGTCGGCTGAACATGAGCCAGCAGTGTGCCCAGGTGGCCAAGGAGGCCAACAGCATCCTGGCTTGTGTCAGGAAAGGTGCAGCCAGCAGGGCCAGAGAGGTGATCATCCCTCTGTACTCTGCTCTGGTGAGGCCGCACCTCGAGTGCCGTGTTCGGCTTTGGGGCCCTCACTACTAGAAGGACATCGAGGCCCTGGAAGTGTGTCCAGAGAAGGGCTAGTGAAGCTGGTGCAGGGCATGGAGCACAAGTCCTGGCTGAGGGCAGCTGGGAGGTGTTTAGTCTGGAGAAGAGGAGGCTCAGGGGAGACCTTATTGATCTCTGCAGCTACCTGCAAGGAAGGTGTGGGGAGCTGGGGGTCGGCTTCTTCTCACAGATAACTAGTGATAGGATTAGAGGCAATGGCCTCAAGTTGTGGCAGGGGAGGTTTAGGTTGGAAATGAGGAGACATTTCTTCTCAGAAAGAGCAGTCAGGCATTGGGACGGGTTGCTCAGGGAGGTGGTCGAGCCAGCACCTAGTCACCTAGAGGTCTTCAAGAAACATGTAGATGTGGTGCTTAGTGACATGGCGTAATGGCAGACTTGGCAGTGCTAGGTTAGAGGTTGGCCCAGATGATTTCAGAGGTGCTTTCCAACCTGAATGATCCTATAATTCTGTGCTGCTGCTGCCTCTAGCAACCATGCAGGGGAGAGGGTAGGCATGGGAAAGGGTCCTCCAGGTGAGCTGAACAGACAGCTGTGAAGCCATTTGTCCATTTTAGATGTGGAAATTGCGTTGTTGCAGTAATTCTGAAGTCCCTTTCAGGCTTCATGTCTGAAGCTTGCTACAGACTTTCCCTGAGGAGGCTGGGAGCCCCCGTTGGACCACACGAGCAAATCCTAGCCAGAAAGCACTGCTATGTCCCATGCAACTCCACACATAAAGCCGTCCAAGTGAGAGAAGTCATGGATATTATGGATGAGGCCCCATTGTGCAAATCTGGAGCTCTTTGGACATTGGTATGCACAGTAATTAATTGCACAGCCAGATAGAGGGGTTTTGATGTCCATTTGCCCACTTCATTTTAATCACATTTTCTTTAAAGGTTTCTCTAGAAAGGCTTTTACACTTATCACAATACTATTCCTCATACTTATTGTTCATCCTAATAGCAAACACAGTAATACTAACACATTATTGTAATTGGTGCTGATGCTGCCCTATTTAACATCACTTCTTTCTGAGTACCATTAGATTTGCTGAATCCATCTGTTTTTACTTTTGTTGAATTTAAAAAAAGACACATTAACATGTTTTCAAAGAGACAGAGAGAGGGGGAAACCACTACATCCCAGTGCATTAATTTAAAAAAATGCAAATAGGCCTATAAATGAAAATCAAGAGGGTTTTTTTTGTTTGTTTGTTTGTGTTGTGGGGTGGTTTTTTTTTGATAGTTGCATCTCTGTCAGTGCAAGATTTATTGGTTTCCAGTCCTCCCAAGGCTTATGAATATGCTTAATTGGGCTCACTGGATTCAAAAGTGGTGTTCCTTGTGCTGTGAGGAGCAGGGGCACAGGAGCTGGTTCCTGTAAGCCTTCACATCACCAGCCCCCCATGCAGGATTCCCCTGCATGGGGGCACTGTGACATCAGGCAATGTGTCTGTTCAGGGATACCTTCTTTCCTAGAGGTTATGCAGGACGCTTTGAAGACAGAGTGTATGCAGTGTGCCCACTTGAAGTCAACCAGATGATACCTGTGCACAATATGAGGGCTAAATGACAGAAGCTTAGGGCTGGTACAGAGGGATGTGGATGCACCCGGCTTGTCCACGATGCATGCGGAGACCAGACTGCCTTGGCCAGCACTAACAACACGGTGGTGGAGCAGGTGACAATCTGTGCTCCAGGGTTTCTCTAAGGTCCATGCCTGAGTGTGGGTTTGGATCCACTCAATAATGCTGGGAGGGATGAGATCCTGCGAGCTTAGCTCTTCTCCCTGGAGGAATTTCTTCTCTGTGAGGGTGGTGAGGCACTGGCACTGGCTGCTCAAAGAAGCTGTGGATGCCCCATCCCTGGAGGTGTTCAAGACCAGGCTGGATGGGGTTTTGGGCAGCCTGGTCTGGTGGGAGGTGTCCCTGCCCATGGCAGGGGTGTTGGACTGGATGGTCTTTAAGGTCCCGTCCAACCCAAACCATTTTGTGATGCTATGCTAAACACACAGGGAAATGGCTGGCTCCATGCAAATAATGAAGAGACTGAAGTATCTCAGATACCTTATTGCCTCCAACTGATCTTCCAAACATATTAAGGCAAGGTGCTAAAAAACACAGAAGCCTATTGGCAAAGCACTATAAGTGAAAGTGTTTGAGGTAAGATAATAAAGCAATACATGAAATTGCAGCAAAATTTCCCTCATTTTCTCTCTTCAAAAATGTAGATCAGCCATGAAGTGTAATCAAATATTAAAGTAAAAGTTAAAAATAGTTTCAGTTACTGCTGTTCCCTTAATCTCTTGTCCATATTTTTATTTCAATATTACTTTTATTCTATTCCAAGTTTCCCTTTCTTTTGCTATTGCATTGAAAAGCGACACAAACAGAAGTGCAAAGTGCTGCTCAAACCATATAGAAAACAACAACAAAAAATCAGGAATTATTTATTTATAGAATTGTTTTATTTGAAATCATTTTAAGTATCACATAATTATAGCACATTTGAAAGTCACAGAAGCGTTCTTTTTAAAAAAAAGAAAGGTTGATTATATCTTTTAAGGGCTGTTCATAGAAGTACTGCAGTTCTTTATAGTAAGGAGCACAGTCAAACAGAGCCCCGTGCAGATTATGGTTGCTCGAGGGCAAAATAACTTTGATAGTGTTCATGCTGTTGCACCCCACAGCAGAAAGCACACACTGTCAAGCAGCAGGGTAACGCTGCAGCAAGCTTGAGAGGACATATATAAGAGCAGGTAGGTAGGAATTTGCTCTTGTTGCCATGGTGTTCGGACCCTGTTTACTTCACTTATCGGCCGCGTCTGATTCTTTGCGTTTCTTCTGGAAACCTGCAGCCCTAACCTGCAGCCAGGTTCAGCCGAAGATAGGCGGTCTGGCCCCAGTAGCCTGTGGACAAAACGTTTACTGATTTATTTATTTAGTTTTATGACATTCAGGAAAATCCCCAGACATGAAGCATGTGCTCATGGAGCCAAGCACCCACCTTCTCAGGGCCAGGCTCTGCCTCCAGGAGCCCTGCACAAGTGGGTGCTGCGAGGAGGATGCTGCCACTGGCACTTTCCTCTGTCTGACGTGTAGGGCACGCTTCCCCTGATGTCCTCAATCAAATTTCAATGACAAGTGACAGACTTACGCATATCAGTTTTAGCTTTCCAGCTAGTAACATCATGGTACTATTTTCAGTGACTTTAGCTCTGTTCCAGTGGCATTATCACCAGCAAACTGCTGTCGTTAAAAGGTTGTTGGTGTACCTTTCGTATTTTGAGACTAAAATATCCTTGTCCCCCTCTGGCTGACTGGTTAAGTCACACTACAGTGCCCCTACTTGTTAATTTTCTCATGAAAGGCTCAAATCCTAGGGTTAATTAAAGCGTGGAATAAGTATCTAGGGAGGCATGTATAAATGCTAACAGGATTCCTATCCATATCTACAGAGAAAAACATCACCATGTATAGTTCATGCTAAGCTAAGGACAGAAAATCCTTAGATCTTCTACAAGGCATAATTTTATATATTTTGTGGCAGCTGTAGCCTTAAAAAAATAAATAAGAAACCCCCGCAAGATTTGATAACGATGATACGTAAATCTATCCCTAATAATCGCAGGGATTAAGCACTGCAGAAGATTGCATAAAGCTGTGTATTTACAGGAATCTTAATACCCGTTCCTATCAGAGGGACCTGCATCAAGGGTCAGAGGCGAGGAAGGCTGCTGTGTCGGACTGCAGCTGCAGGGGAAATTGGAGCGATGGGAATTACTGACTGATAGCATAATCTGGCCAGGTCAGGACGTTGTGAGGAGGAACTTCGTGATCCCTTAGGATGGACGATCAGAAGTATTGTTTGGCCTCTTGCCTACGAGCCCCCAGAGCATCAGCTGGCGCTCACCATCAGCCCCAGTACCAGCACCAGTAGGGCGGCAGAGGGCAGGGTGCCACATCCCAGCCCCCACCCTCCTCCTTGGCTGGCCTCGATTTCCCCCCTGGAGTGTTTTTTCTATACTGATTTTGCCCTCTTTGATTTATGGCATTTTCCTGAGGGGAAATAAATGGGTGAAGTGATGCTAGAGCTTCTGAGGGGAGCCCTCATCGCTGGGCTCTTTGGAGCACTCTGGAATAAGAGGATTCTGCTGAGGGTCTCTCCAGCCCCCAGCTTGCATGAATTGTGCTCCTTGCTCCTGTAACTGAGCTTTTAAGGTTTCTAAAGAGGGTAGAGTTTGCCTGCTCGAAGCAGAGCCTTAGGAGATGCACTGATACCATCTGCTTTGTGCACCCAACTTGGATGCGGTTCAGAGGACAGCGCTGGGAGCAGAAATTCCCCACAACTTCACCGCAGAGAGGCAGATGTCCCTACGTGGGCAATTCAGGTCGTTCGTGTCAGATTCCTAAAATAGCAGGTAGGCAAATTCAGATCGTCTGCTAGCTTCACCGAGTCCACTGCTTACATCTATCTGTGTCTTGAAGGCAATTTATCACCTCCCTGCTGAAGGAAGCTTCAGGCCTGTGCAGGGCCAGAAGCATCCATGGGGCTTTCAGGTGGCTGGGCTGGCTTAGCCCAGAGGGGTTTTGAGGCAGTTTAAGCTGTGTCCTTTGTGGGAACGTGCTAAAAGCTGAACGAATCAATGGGTTTTGAATAAAATGCTCTCTGCTGGAGCACAGAAGGGACTGTAGTGGAAGGGAACCTAATTGCTACTTTATTTGTAGATGGTTTTTTAAAATGCATCCCTTTGAGAAACATTGCTAAAAGCCTGTTGCACATTCATGCCCTGGCTTAGGAAGCACTTGAAGCGCCCCTGTGCCGTGTAGTCATGGTCCAGGGGGGCAAGTGCTTGTTGCAGTGCAGGTTCACAGGGCTCTTGCTGGCCGCGTGCTCCGTGGAGATGTTTCTGCATTGCATTTCCACAGTGCTGGCCTCAAGCTTTATTAATTTGCAAAGAGCACCAGGGCTTTATTAACTTACAAAGGGCTCTGGACTAATTTGCAAAGGGCACCAGGATCAGCTCTGGTCCGTGCCAGTCCAAGGCTAGGCTCTACAAAGCCATCTATCAGGATATCTCTGCCCCCTTACCCCTGCTCCAGCTTGCAGGGCTCCTGGTGCTTGCAAGATCCTACGGATCTTGTAGGAGCCAGGCTTTGCATTCGTTTGGCATGGCTGGGGCATTGTAGAAGGGAGAGAGCCCTCAGGAAAGCTTGAAACGGATCAGCATCATTTCTGATGAGCAAGTGCTTTGATGGCAAAGTGGCCGTTCATCTCAGAAGCCCAAACGTGCTGGATGAGGTCCCCGTAAGGCAGTCCCTGGCCAGAGGGCACGTAACGAAAGGCAGGGTCACCTTCCCGTGAGTACGTTTGGCATGGGTTCGGTCTCGCCCTGCGTTTCCCAGGGAGTGGGAGCTATTTCCCATTAACCAACTGTTCCAGGACAGTAAGCACACCACCCGCAAGCCCCGCCGGCCCTTCCCATACAAAGGTAACCCTCACCTGCAGGCTGGTTCCCACCTTCCTGAGGAGCACGTCCCGGGTCTCACCTCTGTTCAAACACAAAAGGGTTCAGCACCGTTCCCCAGTACCAACAAACACAATTTGTGCAACTGGCTTGCTTTTCCTGCAGGTGCCCTGAAGCTTGCTGCAAACCCCCAAGGGTGAAGGAGAGCTGGGCTTGGGGGGCAGCACAGCAGAAGGGATAAACTCTGTTCAGGCATTAAACCGTGAGCGCCACAGGAGTCGGCTTTTTGCCTTGGGGCAGCCGAGCAGGCATGAATTATTGAAATGATGGCTCTGGTAATCGTTGTGCTGTCAGCCTTGCGACAAGCAGCTAGCAGGGGCTGTCCTGCCGAGTAGGAAAGCCCTCTGCTCAGGTAAGGGGGAAGCTGAGCCGGGCTTCCCGTGTGCGGCTTCGTTTCCTCATTCATTGCTTTTAAAACATGTGTCTTCCTTCAGCAGTCCATTAGGCGCCCCTGGTAGACTTTTTCCCCTTCCTTTTCTTTGTGTGTATTTATATAGGTGTATTTTGGTCTACACACAAGTAGAGCCAAGTCATTAAAAGCATACAGGGAAAACAGTACCTTTAGGAGACGTGCACAGAAGGTTTCCCTGCCTCTTGGCTTTCGGTTTTTGTTTTTGTTTTCCATTTTTTTTGTGCGTAAAGCGCTTATCACAGGGTTTGCAAACAGCTACGTAACAACCGAGACTGGATCACATTACGCAGCTTTAGGAAGCGTTTTATGGCCCGTTCTCCTGATACCGAGAATTTGGGGGAAGAAAATTCATTGTGTGCTAACAATTATGGAGATACGAGTTGGGTAATTGTAGAAATTGTTCTGAGGAGAATACTCTTGCGCCACGTGTTTTGTCCCTCAATCCAGAATGCCAGACAGAATTTCACAAATGAATAAATAAATACCTACTTCAAGGCAAAATAAGACTCCAGAGCCTGCATTGCTGTTTTCCATCTTCAGAGGTCTCTTAGGACAGCTGTGGCTCTGAACATCTTCAGAACTGGGGATCTGTAAACTCCAAAGCCAGCCTTCACTGGCTTTTATGAAAATAGGATAAAAATATCATGAAATAACCTGGACAGAGTTTGACTATAATCATAATGCAGCAAGAGAATTAATTACTAGGTAGGGTTTTATTTTTATCTTTATTTTGGATTCTTAACAGGGTAGGTCAGGACCCATGACAGCAGTAGCTGGTTTCTCTGCATCTTTTGTCCTATTCATACGAGTGGAAATCTGATGATTTGGTTGCAGAAATACATTTTTACTTAGGACGTTTTTGGAGCAATGATATCTGTCACACCTTGACTAACCTTTTTACCTTGGAGACATTATGAAGTTATTTCGACTCAAAATGCCCAGCGGGTTTTGGGGGAAGGCTCGTTGCTGGGAAAACCCCAGGAGAAGCACTTCTGAAAATATCAGCACAGTTGCTGTGACATGGATCGGGTCGCTGTCAGCTCAGCCACTGCTCCTGAAGAAGCTTCCTGCAGGGGAGAGGCCTGGCTCCTCTGCCCTTCAATCCTTTTCTGCCTGCTGAAACTGCTGGGGGAAGCCTACCCTGCTCTCCGCAGCAAGACTTTGTTCTCAAAGGTGCAGTTGCAGGGTGATAATTCATGTATTCCAGTACACTTCCCAAGGCAGGCTTTGAGTGATAATATTATACCCTCGCAGCAGTGCAGGAATTCATCTGAAGCTGGAGAGCATCGATGTTTAACTCCAGAAACTCTGCTGTGGTTAGTGCTCATGTTTAATGCAGGAGGGCAGCGCTAATAATGATAGTTTAGCATTTTCCGGATACATACAATCCTGTTCCTCAAGCACACAGTTTTGCAAAACCTTCCCAGGCCAAGAAGGTGGAAGTGCATGCCTGCTTTGTTTCTGAACCCAGGGGTGTGTCACCTTGTACTACTCATGCAGCTGTACCACTGCGTTTCTGCCCGCTGAGCACAATCCTGTGCTTGCATTTCCTATGGCAGTAGTGACCTAAATTTTGGAGCCAGTCAATGGCAGGAGAAGAAAAATAACAATCGGCTGTTTAAGGGATCAGTGATGATTTCATACCTATTAACTCATTTGTTCTCTTAAAAACGAAACCCAAATCCCCTGAAGTAAAATGCAGAGTTTAATCGTGCCTTTCTTTTTAGTCTTCTTCACTGCTTAGCTCTCAGAGGCGGCATGAGTCTGCCTGGATGGGGTTGGCTGCACGACCCTAACTATCTCCAGGTGGGTGGATAGAAGAAAAAAACCACCCTACAGCCCCTCCCCAAAACTTTTTGTCAGTCTTTTCTGTCGCAGCAGCTGGATTCATCGCTGCCAAGGCGACACACCACATGATGAGGTGCAGTAGGTTGCTCGGCGGAGCACGAGGGGGAAATGAGAGAGCACAGCGCCCTGATGAAGGCACAGGTGGCTCTGGAGCTGCTGCTGCAGAGCTGGGCAAGGTCAAGGGCTCGGGTCTCCGGCACATGTTGTGCTCAGAGAAAGGAGCGAGGGCGGCAGAAGCAGGTAAGCATCGATTAACCCGCAGTCTCACCTTGCTCCCTGCGGCAGCAGAACTTCCCAGAGAGTTTTCTCTTAGTTTTTCTGAGTTGTGGGAAGTTACTTTGCTTGTGTGGCAATGCGAGTATGCTGTCAGGTGTTTAGACTGTCTGAGAGATTCTCTCACTTCAGAGAAGCAAATCGTAGAGTTCAGGAGGCAGGTGCCTTCAAATCAGTGCAGAAGTATTTGGAGATTTCAGCTCTTCTGTCAGCTTTGCTTTGAAGTATTGGACGAATTTTGGTTTTGTTATTATCTGCACAATGGTTCAGAACATCTCTCATCAGTCAGGCATTTTGTATCAATACCTTTATCTACTTAGGCATTTTTTTTTATCAATACTTTTTAAGATTCTGCTATCTTTAGTATTTATTAACATTTCTTCCTTCCCGATCAGTGACATCAGTGCCTCCGAGTCTTTGGAAACGAATTGCTGTGCAATTTCCTCCTTCAGACTTTATGCTGCCTCCTTAAGTCTGTAGCTTTTGTAGTGCCATTAACCAAACTTCAGTGCACTTGTAAGGACGTGAAAGTGGAAACTGTGCCACAGTATATTCTGGTTTTCACCCTGTTAACCGTTCATTTGCATACAGGTAAATAGTAATAATTACCTTCAGCATTGGATTTATCTGTTTGTTCAGACCCATATCAAACTCAAACAAGATTTATCCTGCCATGTTCTCTATTCCCTCTATTCCTTTTTTTTTTTATTATTATTTTTATTTTTCACATGACCAGGTTAAATGGGACAGGCTTTCAGGTAGCACCCATTAGGTGAAGGAAAACATCTATACTGTGGAAAGGGAATAACTAAGGGACAAAAGCAGTACTAAGGGGGGTGGACAAACTGTCCGAAGTTCAAGTTAGACAGTTCAGTACTTTTCCTGCTTCCCATGAGGGGTTTCCAACATTTTCAATGCTTTCTGTTACTTAGAAACTGTTTCTTTCTGACCATTGGGCTCCTCTTTGCTTCACCTCCTTGCTTTTCTTTCCTGAAGGACTAAGGGGTGGTGAAGAGCCTCAACCTTTGCTCCTTCGATGGTTCTGCTTGTACAGATAATAAAAGAGTCTGAGGCACACTGCCCTAATCTAGGTAGCTTTATTGCTTTTTTAGGGGCAGTGGTGGGGCTTAAGAGTCATTGACTCCTGGGTTCTGTCAGAAAGCACAGGCTGCACACATGTGCGTGAAGCTGCTCCACATCAAAGGCTCAAAGTATTTCATGATAGAGGGATATAAAATGCAAGGAAAGGGTGGCCTGGCTCTCCACTTTCACATGAGGCATAACAAGGGAGTGCAAACGTGCAGTGTTTCTCCATGGCTCTGAGTACAAGCTTTCACGCAACCTTTCTGTTCCCCCAGATGTACTCACCTCCCTGGCAGCCTGGTGTTTAAAGCCCTCGTTCTCACCGTGGGCAAACTGGAAGCATTCCTGTGGAAGCTGCTGAAGGTCAGCCTGCCCCTCCTGCTTGCCCCTGCCAGTGGCAAGCAGCAGCAACCTGAGTTATGGTGTAACTAAAACGAGTCTGAGTGGCAGGCAACTTTGCCACAAGCAAAGGCAACGTGTGCTTTATGCCATGCTGTAGGGAGTAAGCGGTCAGAGCTCAGAGTTTAAGTAATTAGCTGATTTTATCGGGGGTGGAGAAAGAAGCAGCCAACCCTGCCCGTCAGCTTCCGGGAGAGAATTTGGGAAAGTGCAAAACTGAGCAGTCTGTTTGTAAGCCCAGAAGGAAACAGGTTTGCAAGGAGTTGAATCGGGATTCTCGAAAATGAGCATTTGATAGGGGTGGAACTCTTTGAAGGGGAAGATTAACCTGTGTGGGGAAAAAGTCAAGCAAAGTAGGACTGTGGTTTAGCTCTGATTCCGCCAGTTCAAGCAGAGCAAGGAAAATTCTGATCTAATTATCCAAGCAGTCAAAGAAGCTTAATCTCTCTAGATTTAGGGACCTTGTTCAATTTGGTGAATGAGGAATCTAATTGAAACACCCAGGAGCTGATTATCACTAATACAGCACATCCTTTGTGGCCCAAAGCATAAAGCGTCAGGGGAGCAGCTGCTTCATCGCATAGTATCACTAACACAGTCATCCAGCTGACTGTCACAGAGATGCACTAGATGTGATTTTGTCCAGGGGATTCAAAAATTAAGGAATTTAGATGAGAGGAGATAAAGCACCCTCTAATAAGTAGTTACCTCTCCATTTCATTTATCTTTGAGCTTTTGTTGTGATAGCTTATCATGGGGGAGGGTGAAAAGGAAGCAAGAGTCTTAGTTAGGGACATCATTATTAAACAACAGCAAACAAGGTAAAAAAGTTTGTGTGTGTGCAGTCTTCTTTTCTAGAGCAGAAAAAAAGTGAAAGATTTCATAAATATGGGTATGGATGTAAACAGAAGGAGCATGAACACTGTCAGAAAAAGCTTCCTAGGCCAAATCAGGTGTTCCTTTGTGGGGACAATACTAGTTCCTTTTTCTTGGACAATACTTGACTGCAGTTGTTCCTAAAAATGGCCATCATTGTTTTGAAAAGTGGTCATGATTTGGTGAAGAAGACTATTTTCAAGTCCCTTTTTGTCCATTTTTAGGAACTGTAATTACATACATACCAATCTTCCCCCTTGGCTTTTGTTCCAATTACTCTCTACCATCTCATTAATCCTACTGATTCTTGTATAAAGCTTTCTGGAGAGACACTGTCTTACTTGTCTACAGCCCATACAAGATATTAACATCCAGTGCTAACTGGAACCTCTGAAAGATGCAGTAAAACCAATAACAATTCTTTATAACATACAGGTGCCTCTTACACATGGACTGATTGAGAAAGACTCCAAAGACTGCTTAAATGTCCTCCTGAACCTACCATCAGAATAATTTCATTACATGGTTTTGTTATTTGGATTTTACCCATAGAAAACTCAAATTTCACTAATAATATCAACAAGGTTATTAGAGAGATCTCATCTGCCTGATCCTATTGATTAAAATTACATGATTTGCTAATGTAGTCAACTTTTTACTAGTCTTGGATTCATGGAAAACAGTGGAAAAGTCAAACTGACTCCACTGGAAAGAAAAAAATTAATCCATTGGATTGACACAACTGCATCAGCCTCTGAGAAGAAATCTGGAGTCTTGATTTCTCAGAATCAAAACAGACACAAAATTTTAAGGCTAGTTACTATGATGTGTGTATGTGTTGTATGCAAATAATAATGCAGGCCAAATTCTAATAAAGAACAAGTCGCAGTGACTAATTGATGCAGGAATATGTGTACCAGGAGGAGCAGGCCAGTCCCTCACTCAACTGTCAGATGGCTGAGATATTTTTCTAGGGATAAATATGTACAAGGAGGATTACAGCAACAGATGCTTACTTTAAGAGCTCGAGCTCCACATCCAAATGTTCATCTGGCTCAAGTCAAAATGGGCAAAAGCATTTCCAAAAGGAGGGCAAATATCTCCTGAGCCACATCCCAGATCAGGAGTGGGTGGACTGACAGCAGTCCGGGGTATCTTCTTTACATGCAGGACTTGTGCTTTTGGGACCAGTTATTTCCAGAAGGTACGGCTACTTTAAAGTGTTCGATACGGAGAATTAAAGAAATCTATTCCCTGGAAAGAAATTCGCTGTGAAATCATCACAGGAGCCATTGATTCAGTTCTTCATGGAGCACAAGCGCTTGTGGCATCGGGATATTTATCTTGGATGTCAGCACAGCTAGCTCCAATACCCATTTCAGTTTTAAGGGTGTGCTGGAACAGAGCAAAACAAACACACCCAACAACTTGCAGAAAACGAGTCTTTCTGACTGCTGTGCCACTGAGTGAGTGAGGCAGTGTTGTATACAAATGGCTCAGGGAGAGGTGTAAAGCCACCAGCTGGCCATCAAGCTGACTATAATTCTTCCTCCCAGGCACTTGACTTCAGTACTGCTGAAGTCCCACTGCTCATAGATCATGAGTCAATGCTACAGGCCAGTCATGAGATTTCAAACCTTCTCTTTGCCTGAGTCTTTCTGACTTGTTTCATGTTCTTTTCTGCAACCATGAACCTTGGCGGACTACACTGTGGAGCAGAAAGAGATGGTTAGCCCCCTGATTCCAGCCGCATGGTCTCTACAGAAAAAATGCCAAATGCTGTTAGAGTCAGAGATGAGAACTTCTCCTGACAGAGAATGTCAAACACTGTGCTAAGGAAAAGCTCCTCTCTGTGATTCTACTACCTCCTCCGTCAGCTTCAGGCTATTATAAGTTAGTAATTAATCTACACCAAGACTCCTTCCTTCCTTCCCGTCCCATGTAATGCAACCCTCATATGCATGCTTTTGTGTGTACGTGTACACACGGACACTTAAAATAAATCATGTATCGTCGTATGTCATTGGACACAAATTACTGGATTTGGAATGAATTACTTTGGTTTTCATGGCTTACAAAAACAAGCAAACAAAAAAAGACTGAAGAAAGTATTAAATGCCACAAGCTATTTTATTAAAGACAAGTGACATAGTATCACATTAGGTCAGGGTGAGTGAAACAGGACCAAACTGTAAGTCTCCCCTTCCTTTTACTGCACTGGTAGCCTACTAATTGTGTCAAATTATGTGCTGATCTGAGATGATGAAGAGATTCTCCTGCCTCTGAGGCTGAACGTCCCAGTCTTGTTGTGAGTTGCAACCTAACGCCGAGTTGAAAGTAACGGGATTTACAGGGCTGAGAGGCACAGTGCCACCTACCTACTAACTGTAATTAAGTATGTATTTCATAGAATATCCTGAGTTGGAAGGGACCCTTAAGGATCATCAAGTCCATTTATGTCATGAGGTGAAAACTAAAAGCCTGCTCGCTCTCTTTAGCTATGGATATTTTTGTGTGGAATGCTGCTTAGAATTTAAAGTGGCAGATTAGACTTTCAAGCACCCTTTGACAACCACAGTGAAGCTGTGGGTGCACTGAGGAATGCTAATACTGGAAAAATAGGAACATCTTGATTGTTAATTCTGCTGAAGTTAGCAGAGCAAAGCAGAAAAAGAAGGGTTTTTTCCTTTTCATAACCCCTAGGCTTCATAAATGCATCACACTTCCTTATTGTCAATTTGCTCGGGAAATCACTGCTGACATCTCACCTACGAATCTATTATCATTCCAGTCAGGCCATCTTTCACGTATATTGAAGATCTCTTGGATTTTTACCAGCTTTAAATTGTATTGAAAGCAAGCAGATGAACATTAAATTAAAAGGTTAATTGAAACTGAAATACTGTGCTGGCACAGCTGATTTGTTTCAGTTAAAATGTTTATTAGCTTAATTGAATATTTACAGAACCAAGACACACAAAAAAAAAGTTGTGCATGTGTTTCACACACAAAAGAATTAATGTACCTGCATTCTGAAGATAAATAGCCATTAATATTCCATAAAAACAATGGTCAATGAGAGGATATTACCAAAACAAGGAAAGTTTTTTCTGAACCCCAAAGCCAAATTTTTTATGGTTTCCTGTCAGTTGCCACTGAGGACACTGAAGTTTTCAAAGGTGACAAGATAAAGAGCTTACAAAATACAAAATGTGTTGAACATATGGTTGGTTCAGCAAATATTCATAAGGTCTTCTGCCTGGCAGAAAACAACCAGCTCTGTGATTCTTTTGTTGCCTTTGAGGTCTTTTCTGAGACTGGACGGCAAAGATCCTCATAAGAAAGAGTTATTAGAGAAGCATGCTGGCTTTCTCTTTTTTTTTTTTTTTTTTTTTCTGATTCAAGAGTGGTCAGGCTGTACAGGTGGAAGGAAAAGGAAACCAATTCATTCCTGCTTTCCTGGAAGAAACCAGTTTTCATGTTAGTTGGCTTTTCTAGGGTGCCTCATTTAACAGCACTGTGGTAATTATTAATCTTTAGCAAGTAACCAATGGGTTAGACCTCATTGGCTTTATAGCATTTAAAGCTCTGTTCAGATTTTACTAGGTATTTTGCCCACTATAACATCTGCCTCACTTATGGGTATTCAGGAACAGTATCGTACCAAAACCACCAGCCTGTGATAAGTAGGAAGGGGGCATTTAACCCCAAATGATTTTGTGAGCTTATTCATTCTGCTGGCTGCACTGCAAGAGAGGAGACAGGAGGCAGATGGAGAGAAAGGTCCGGATGCCTCCTGTTTTGCTTGAAGTGTGACTAGAGATGATATTGATCCTCTTTTGTAAGCCTGTCTTTGTTTCCTTTGTGCAGGGCACGCATGGCTCTCACATCAGCTGTCACCCAGCAGAGAATAGGTACCCAAATGCTTCCCTGGTGCACTGCTTCAAACTGGTGTGGTTTACGAGTAGGCTGACCTCAAATACCTGCTATTCAGGTTTTATCCATGAGTCTTGTGTGTTTATCACATGTTGGAAATATACCTTTGAACCTGAAAACTGTGTGCAAAGGTAAAATTCAGTGACTTCAGTGGGCTTTGAAGAAACTTCCAACACCTCAGTGTGAAGGGCATCAGGAGGAACCCTTAAGGTCCATGCTGTTCATTGCTTTTCTTACACCGCCTGTATGTTACTGTCCTATCGTGTCTGCCTTGCTGCTCTTTTCTCTCACCCAT